AATGCATTTTGAAAACTAAAATGGCAGCATGCAGTGGCTCACGCCTGTAATCCCAGTACTTTGGGAGGCCAAGGCGGGTGGATCGCTTGAGCCCAGAATTTGAGACTGGCCTGGGCAAATGGCGAAACTCCATCTCTACAAAAAACACAAAAAATTTGCTGGGCATGGTGGCATGCACCTGTAATCCCAGCTACTCAGGAGGCCGAAGTGGGAGGATTGCTTGAATCCAGGAAGTCGAGGCTGCAGTGAGCCGTGATCGTGCCACTGTACTCCAGCCTGGGCAACAGAGTAAGATCTTATCTCAAAAAAAAAAAAAAAAAAAAAAAAGAAGAAAGAAAACGAAAATGATTTGGTACATCTTGAACTGTCAGTACACGTGGGAAAACTGTAGGAGGTAAGGCTGGGATCAAATTTTTCTGCAGAGATCAATTTTGGTCATTGAAAAGCAGGAAGCTTATTCTGGTAGTGAAAGTTACCACTAAGACATTCTAGCAGGGGAGATGAGATCATGGAGTAGTATCCCCAATTTGATCTTCTAGTCCAATCTCCACTGATACTTGTCTGAGTCCTAGAGGAAACGGACTGTAATAGTGTGAGCTGGTAAAACCTCAAAAAGCTACAACAAAAAAGGTGCTAGTAGCCTTTGAAGTTATAGAAATCCTCAAGACTGTGCATTGCTGTGTAAGAATCAGTGATGCCTAAAAACACATCTTTGGGCAAAAATGGTTGTGCAGTCTTTTACAAGCATTAGTGGCCTTAATGCCTCCAATACAGTCAACAGCAACTGAAGTTATCATCTGAGTGAGCCAAAGCTGGAAAGAAGGGAAATAATAGATACTAGAGCAGCCAAGAGGGTAGTACATGGAGTCCAACCAAGCCACCCCTAGCAGACCCTTAGAATAGATTGAGGAGGACTTTGCAAAGCACCTAGTGCTCTCTCGTGTGAGGACAGACTAGGCTTGTCTTATTCAAATTGTATCCCTCATATCTTGCACAGTGGAACAGCACTACAAGGCTGCACAGATCCCAGGGTCACTGTTCATGCAGTTGCCTATATAAATAGAACCTTCTGGAGTTGTGTAACAGGAGCCTTGCATAGATGTTCAATCAAGATAGGTTAAAGGCAAAAATGAAATAGTAATTGCTTAGCTGCTTTTGTTAACATTATTCTAAATCTCAGGTTGGGCTGGACTGAGCAGCAGTGGCTCCCATCAGATTTGGGTTTGGAGTTATCATCTGGATAGCAGTGTAGCACATAACGTAGGGGAATGGATCCAAGATGCTCAATTAGAACTGCAGTGACTGGTGGGGTGTTTTACTACTTTAGTTCTGGAAACGTCCTGAAAGGAACTGGAAATAAATGCCATAACTACGTATACAGTCAGTAGGCAGGAGGAGCCAGGTGGAGAGCTAGGGGCTAACACTCATGAGGTCACTGGTGGCAACTAACGAGAATACCCCCATTACTCATTCTAAGGCTAGCTCTTAATCCTAGGCAAAATGAGACTGGGGGACAAAATGAAAATTAATCAGCAGAGAGCAGATAAAGCTGATTCATTTCTGAGCTGGAATAAAATCAATACAGAGAACTTGGTTGCATAAATATTAAACAATAAAACCTGGAATAGACATCATCCTCCTTAGAAGATGGAGCCTAAAGAAGGCATGCCATTGAGCCCAAGGTTGCTGTTGGTGGAAGTGGCAGCCTTAGTATTCAAGAGCCGGGGAACATCAGACATTCTAAGTGTCCACAGACTTGCATGAGCTGAAGAAGACCGAGATTCATGATCTGCTCATTCAACACAGTGGTGACAATAGAAGAAATATCTAGTAAACCTGAAAAGCACCTCAAGAGGAACCTGGAAAACAATCTAAAAAGCCAGAGAAAGCTAGAGTTGAAAGCAGTATAGAGTTAGATTCAAGATAGAATCTAATGTTCATATAGATCCTCTTGCATCGTTAACAGATGTCCACACAGGACACAGGAAGTGCACGGTTTTGATTATCAGTGTATGCCAAAATAAACCAATTCCTGCATGTGGAGGACAGACAGCTGTATGAAGCAGGATCCTCAGTGTCTTCAGTTGGCTCCATTAGACCAGTGGATTCACACCTTCCGGCAGCTGCCCCATCTCGAGGGCACTGGACGTGCTGGATTTGGAGAGACTGTTATGGGATCTCAAACCATTTGTAATGCTAAGCACCACACTGTGGGGCCACTGCACATCCATACTTTGTGTTGTGCCTACACATTGGGAGGCACTAGGCTCTGGGGAGAGACATATGTTTTCAAGGAAGGCTCTTAAACCCAGAGAATGCTTCTTGTCTACAGCCACTGTCATATCTTTCTGACTTCTCAGTTCCCTCACTGTCCCTTTCCTTTCAAATATTTTTACTTCCCAAATCAGACAGATAAATGTTTTTTGCAAGTACAGAGGTATGTCAGTCATCACCTTCTCTCTCGGATGCAATAAGTTGAATTGTTTGTTTTACGTATTTTTGTAGCTTAGATGTTGACTTTATCTAAAGGAGTATCCTTGAAACAAACACTTTAAAAATGTAAGTACAGAAAGGTAAGCATGCTATTAGCAATTTTTAAAAAACTTTGCATGTGGTTACTATCTATATATTTGTCCTTCTATTGTTTATCAATGCCTTCTAAATGCACCACCAGTACAGAGAAAAAACTGTGTGCACCTAGGAGAACTTGCTTGATGCCCCTGGCCTCAGTTTACCACATCTCCAAAACCAGTGGTTCTGACAGCCAGAGCATCTTCCAGATCTAAGAGATCATAATCATGTATCTTATACAAAGACCAGAAATGCCTATACAGATTTTTAAAAACTAGTATAAGCAGAATGACAAACAAAGCTTCAGTCATATATGAAGAAGTAGTAGGGTGGATTATTTTCAGGCAAAATGAACTGATTCCTTATAAAATAGTAATAATTATCCAAGGTAGAGAAAATAATTTTGTCTTAAAAATCAAAATCTTGATTTACTTCGGAAGTTATTTTAGCTCACTTCATTTTTTAAAAAAAAAAATCTTTTTTTTCAATTTGGTCTAGCAAGGTTTTATTTTAGGAATAGTGAAACTGACAGGAGGTATAGAAAGCCATGCATTAGTGAAACCCAGGCCCCTTACTTCCTTCATCTTTCACCTGCACATTTCTGGCACTTTCCATCTCGGAACTTTGTTGCCTGAACCACCTCTCCACACTCTTGGGAGTTAATAACTCCACATAGACAATTTTTCCTCCGGAGGACAGAATTGCTACTTCTTCAAAGCTTTTGGGGCTCCCAGATGCTGCACAGTGGGGGTGCCTCACACTCATCTCTAAGAGTGGCTGTTTTGGCACCATTTTTGGCTGAAGTTTTTGTATTGCATTTCCATGTCATTCGGTGTGATGTGTGCCTGCCAGATATTCTGCCTGCTCTCAGTTGAAGGCCTTCCCAGATTGGGCAGCTGAATGTACTGCACAGCTGCCAAAATTCTAATTCAAGATCTAGAATTCTAACTCCTGCTCTTTAGACCCTTGTCTGGCCTTGGCCTCAGTCCCCTGCCAACTGGGTCCCTGGCTCATTATCAGGCCCACCAGGGCCCTGCCCCCTCCCTCATTGGGCCCACGAAACCATTCTTGGCACCAAACTGAACTTCAAGACACAGCTGCCCCAGCCCCACCCAAGCCAAATTTCATCTCAGCAAAAGTTTGTCACCTTGTGAGCTGCAAGACAGAAGAGATGAGAAGAGAAAATGATACAGGTGATGGTCAGATCATAAAACTTCCTGTAGCAACAGACATATTACATGTACCTTTACTCTAAGAACTTGCATGAAAGGCAAACAATCCCATTATTAGAAATAACACTAGATAGGGATGCATAGAGTTTATGGAGGGAGGAATACTATTTCTCCATTTATCTGCACCAGAGGGTAAGTGAAATTTGCCGTAAGGAAAAATACTAAATTCAGTATGCATATATTAATATTAAAAAATATTTTTAAAATGTACTGTTGGGTCATAAACTGCTGATAATGTGTAGTATTTCTTAGGCACCTGAAAACTGCTACTGGCAAATAGACACTTTACAGCAGAAATATGACTGCAACTGGAGGAGGGGGTGGGGACCAGAAAGTAATTGATTCTCAGCAAAATGCTGGTTTTCAGGGAAGCTACTAAATTCAACTTAAGTGGTTACCTGGTCAACATTATGGTTTAAATGCTCACAGGATGAAATCGCTTCCTTTTTAAATAAGAGTCACTATTTCCCTCGCCGTTGTTTCCATTCCTTCTAGCCTTAACCAATGCACCGTCCTTTCTGCCGTGGCTGAAACGAGGATGGGTTAATTACCACACCTGAGATGGTGGAGTGGGTGCAGTGGGGTGCTGTAATTTCGGATGATTAAATTATTTTAGCTTTTGTTTTCCTAGAAGGAGCAGGGAGTATAAAAAACGTGGTACATATGTAAAACACAGGCAAATGCACTTGACAACCAAGCACTCTATTTTGAAATTTAAATAAAGCTAAGATTTTCTTCTGGCCTAGAGGGAAGCTTCATTAAAATCAATTAGTTAGTACAAACCTCCGGAGAATGCAGACTTTTTCTAAAGAAGGTTTAAAGAAGAAGGTGCACACAATTACCTTTCCCGGGTCCCCTGTGAATGTGTCACACCTAGACAGGTGGCTGAGTACAAAAAAATGTCCCCGAGAGGGGCCAGGGTAACTCCCTGAGTTCTCCTTGCAGGAAGGTAGGTGTAATTAATCCATGTGGGTGCATTAAGAACGTCATATACATAACCAAGGAGGCTCCAAACAGATGGCACGGATCGCAAGCTGTAAAGGGCAGGCCTAGCGAGATAAAGTTGGTGGCAGGGCTCGCAGGTGAGGCCTGGGTCCGGGCGCTGAGGTTGGGGCCGCACAGCTGTAGCCGCGCGCCCTGGTCCCTCCTCCCAGCTGCGGCGGCCTCCCCCCCGCCCCCGCCCCCGCCCTCCCCGCGCCGCTCCCGACGCCGCCGCCGCAGCCGCCGCCTCCCCTCTGCCTCCCGGTGGCTCCTTGCTCTCCTTCCATCTCTCTCGCCCCCTCTCCCTCCGTCCCGTCCTCGCCGCTCCCCTCACCCCGCCTCTCTCCCCCTCCCCCAGCCCCTCCTCTCCTCACCCCACCCGGCCTCCCTCCCTCCCTCGCCCGCCCGGCGCTCGCAGAGCCGACACCAGGGGGGCTCTCGATGTAGCACCATGACAGGCATCGCCGCCGCCTCCTTCTTCTCCAATACCTGCCGATTCGGGGGCTGCGGACTCCACTTCCCCACCCTGGCCGACCTCATCGAGCACATCGAGGACAACCACATCGGTAAATGGCCCGGGGGTGGGCGGAGGTGCCAGGCGCGCGGAAACTCCTGCCTGGGCGGGGAGCCCCGGAATGGCCAGGGGTGGCCCGCAGGGAGGGAGGCAGCGGGCCGGGGAGGGCGCGTGCGAGCCCCGAGGTGGGGGTGGCGGGATGCGGGGACGCGAGGTGCCGGGGGGCGGGGAGCGGTCTGGGGTGGGGGAGGGGGCGAGCGCCCCGAGGTGCCGCGGGCGGGCGGGCGGGCGGCTGGGGGACTCAGGGGCGTGCACGCGGGCTGCGAAGTGGTGGGAGCGGGGAGCGCCGCGGCGGGGCGGCGTGGGGTGCGGCGGCGGGGCCGAGCGCCGGCTCGCGGGGCGCGGGGCGGAGGGCGCGGCGGGCGCTGAGCGCTGGGCAGGGGCGCGGAGTTAGTTGGCCCGGGTGGTCGGAGCAGCCCGAGGCGCTGAGGGCAGCGGGGGGCGGGCGCTGCACGCCGCCTGGCGCTTCCGCCCCGGTTCGAGCTGTCAGGGCTCGGCGGCGGCTGCAGCCGCGGGGAGGTGGAGCGGGGGGGCGGGGGTGGCTCCACCGCGGCAGCCATTCCGCTTCCTCCTCCCGCCGCCGCCGCCGCCACTGCGTCCTGTCAGCGCCGGTTGCTAGGTGTGGTGCATCGGGAGGGGGCCGGGGCCGGCGGTCGCCGGCGGGGGCCCGGGCGCTTGCCCTCTCCCTGGGAGGCGGCCGAGCGACCCGGGCGGGGCCGGGGACGCGGGCCCGGGGGCTCTGGGTGCCCTCCCGTGCCCCGGCCTGGCGCGGACGCCCGGGCGCTGCGGGCTGAGGTCTTGGGTGCGCCCGCGGGCCGCGCCCAGCGCCCCGGGGTCGACGCGCCCTGGAGGCCCTTGCGGCAGAGTCCGCTGGAGAGCCACCCCCCGGGCCCATGGCCGGGCATTTAAATGCACCCCGGCTCTGCGATTTGCCTTTCTAATGGTGCTAGGCCCGAGGTGCGCTGGCTGCGCCCTGGGATCGGCGGCGGCCTGCGCAGTGCCCCGGGCCCGGGGGACGCCGGGGAGAGGGCGCCCCGCGGGGTGGCTACTTTCCCTTCACGCCTGGACCCCTGGACCTTTCAACAAATCCTCTGATTTGCAGAAGTCCTTGCACACATTTTCATACTTCTATTCGGAACCCCTGCTAAGGGAGGTGGGCCGGGTGCATCTGGCTCAGGCGGTCCAACCACCTGCGGAAGGTGTGGTCGACGCCAGCGAATTGTCCTGCGTGGGCTGGAAGGTGAAGGGTCCCAGCGGTGTCCCAATGGGGCTGTCTAATCCAGAGAACCTGTAAATTGCCCCCAGGAAGTCCAAATGAATGCCATGGATTCAGCCATGTGGATGCAGCTCACGTTTCTACAAAGTTGAGAGAATAAATCACGACTGCTGTGTATTTATGCAGGAATAAAATGAGGCAGAACCCTATGCTCCTTTGCTTAGTATAGTGCTGTCTCTGCACACAGTGGGTGCTTAGTAAGTGTTGAATGCCTGTTTAGAATGTGATTTGATGGGCCATCCGGAATAGGAGATAATCATGGGAAACGTCTACAAAATATCTTTCAGAAGAAAATTCTGTTGAGTAATTGTCCACGTTTTGAAACTTTTCAAGTTTTCAGGTGTCCTTGTAATAGCTTCTTCCATTTCCTCTGCTAAAGGTGTGACAGAAGAGCTGGGCAAGTTTTGGTAGTCTTAAAAGCAGTTTAATGGCGCAACAAATTTGCTGATTCATATCATGATTGAATAGTCATTACTGAAAGTGCTTTAAAGTATTAAATCAGATTTTTCATGATGGCTAGTTTAAAATAAAGCGAAAACACCAGTACTGTGAAGTTCTGGTAGAAATGTTACTAGTTTAAGTTCTTCCCCTTACTCGCAATAATAAGTAAACAATAGGAAATATAAATAATGCTATAAATTCATATGTATGATATAAGTAATACAAATAAATATCTCTTGACTTAAGGAAGGCTGTCATTGCGTATCCCATTCATTCTCGCTAACAGTTATTTCAGAATAAACTATAATTTATGTAAGCTGACTAATAATTTTACCCCATTGCCTGCCTACTTAGACAAGCTGGTTAAAAGACAGTATAAATTCTATTTATTAAAATGTGTTAAAGACAGTTATCCTTCTTGAGGAGTTTGTATGAGATGGTCTAAAACTTGGTGAGTCATGAGGTTTTTTTAAGTGTAGAAATTGTCCTAATATTTTGCACACATTTTTTTAAGAAGGTTAAGAGTTTGATACATTTTCTAAAACTCAACTTTGAAGTAATGCTACCTCATTCCCAGAAGGCTAGTGTTGTCCTTTTAATAGTGAAAATATGAAAAAATTAAGTTTACAGCAATAGCAGTGACCTAGGCGAACTGTGTCGCAGGGCTAACACAGTTGAAAATAGTTTGAACCAGCAAACTTTATGAAAAGCGAATGTTAAAATGAATGAACACTTGCAATTCCCAGGATGAAGAGGCTCAAACTATTATACACCTCTGCTGGGGAGAGGCCCTTTACTATCAAAGGCAGCCCTATATGCAGAAAGAAGTAAGAATTGATCTTAAGAAAGAATAAAAATATCCCAATTAGTAGATAGTGTCATAATACACTTTTGATGAAGAGACATGGGTGAAAATATAAAGCATTTAGTGAAAGTTCTAGACTGGTATTGTTATGTAGTATTTATCGTTTGTAATTCAATCTATAAGAGTTTGGAGACTTATTTTTAATGATTGACTTACTGATTTCATGTCTGTTGGTGAGTGGTTACATTAAAAAGATTCAGGAAAAAAATAAGAGATGTGCTATTTTGCTTTTAATTTGTTAAGCAGTCTTGTTATTTAGCAACCATGAGTATTAGAGATATGCTTAGGCGAGCGTTCCATTTTGGGGGCCTATCTGGGTTATTACCTTTAGCTGCTAGTAAAAACCCTTAAACAGCGATAAAATGAACATTTATGGGAATGTGGTGTGTTTCTTGCTTGGCAGATTTTTCAAGGCCTGTATTTTTCATTATCAAAGTATTATGTTTAGTTTGGATTAATTAAGCACATTAAGTTGAGAATAACTCTGTTATCTTATACGTGTATGCTTAACTTTTTTTTTTTTTTGCTGTTAGGATGTATATACTTTTTATTATTATTATTATTATTATTATTATTATTATACTTTAAGTTCTAGGGTACATGTGCAAGTTTTTAACTATTTTCCTCTCCCCATAATGAACAAGGATTTGGGGCTTTGGCACCAAGGGAAGTGTGATTTTCACCATCCACTGTTTTAGCTCTTTTCCCTCCTGGAAGGGTGCTGTACCGGTATTCCTGTTTTCTTTCTTGCATTTCACTGCTGGTTCAGTACTGGAGTACCTGTCTCAGTGTACACACTGAATATCCTAGCTAAAACTGTCCCCTATTCCCACTTAAATTTAAATTGCCTAGAAATCCCATAGCCCTGCAACTGTGAAGTGCTTCTCCATCAATTTTGTTATCAATTCATTCATAGGTCTGGGTCTGTTACATGGAGGTGGGAAAAGCTGGTCCGGATTTGCTTGCTTCTTATTTTGAGTAGGTATTTGAGTTTGTAGAAACACTCTTGGTATGAACATCCTAGATAGATGAAGTTAAACTGGTAACCGGGAATCTTAGAAACACCAGGAGCACTAAATTTAGCACTGAAGTTCGTGCCCCAGGCTCATGAAATGCCTGCTGCAACCCTGCATCCCAGTGCTGTGAAATCTTATGACTTTTCGTCTCAGAAACACAACTGTTGAATCATTCTTATTTGATTATTTGGTGCATTTTTAGAAGTACCTCTGCATTTTGAATTTATTTATGTAATAATATATTGAGTCCCTGCTTTATGCCAGGCAAAGTTATGAGCACTTGATATTTTTTGGTTTACAAAATGAAGATACCACTCTAGGAAGTTTATATTCTAGGGTAGGGGGCCGGACAATAAACAATTGAAGTATGTGATATACAGTATGTTGGGGGGTGGTTAATGAAACAGAAAAGAGAAAAACTAGAGCAGGGTCTGGAGGGTTGGGAGGAGAAGGTATTGGAATTTTAAATAGATTGGTCAGGGTGGGCCTTGCCGAGAGGCTGATATGGGAGATAAAACCTCAAAGGAGGTGTGAGAGTTAGCCATGAGGACATTCCGGGAGCCAGCAGTGCACAGGCCCCAAGGCAGGACTGCACCACTTGAATAGAAACACAGGAATCTGACCCAATTCAGTTATTCATGTGATAGTACCAGACTAGCAGGTCATTCAGAACTCTCCTCAGATGTTAGGACTCTTAGCTTTGCTATTGAAAGAGATTTCCCTGCAAGGGCCCAGTTAAGGGGCAGAGTCTCACTGACCAAGAATGGCTTGCATTAGCTATAACTTGGTTCTTAACCCCAAATATCAACAGGTTTCTTGTTGTGAGTCTCTACTTGTTAGTTTCCTCATCTCCAAAACCCAGGTAATAAAGCTATAGTGCTTCATTTCATAGTATAGATTTATAAACCATCTAATTAATAAAGGTCAAAGTTTCCGGAAAGAAAAATCAGGCCACTTACTATCAAAAATATAGAATTTAGCTCCTAAGATGATTTAGTAAATATTTGCATTATCTTCTCAAAGGAGCACTACAGTGTACTAAATAGATAAGTCATACAGTCTGTCATTGGCCCTTATTAGTCCCACTTTTAGGTGAGCAAACTAAGGAACAGTTTATAATTGCCTAAGCTTTCGTGGCTGGTTTGTATGATTTGGAGATTTGAATTCCAGACAGGTATGCAAAGCTGAGCCTATGCCAGTTGCCAATTAGGTGAAGAACTTGACAGTCCCCTCCTCACCTCCCCTCACACGATTGGTGTTTCCTCCTTTAGAAGGTAACTGAACTCCACATGAAGGTTATCTGAGCAGTGGCATAGTGAACCCAGACTGCTTGGGGTTGAACACACATGTCTGCCACTCGTCAGCCGTATGACCAGGGACAAATTAACCGTACT